GTTCTGATTGGTCGGTTTCTATGCCAGTCAGTGTCTCCAGGCCTATCTCTGGGTCTGATCAAAGAGGCGGGTCTGATCAGCAGCCCCCCCCCCCGCCCCCGAGAAACAGAGGAACAGCTGTTGGTGAAGTCCAGAGAGAAAGAGAGAGGCAAAGGCTGATCAACAGCTGCCACAGAGGCTGCGAATCAGACCCAGTGCTGGGTTGCCTCAGTGTTTGGTCGAGCCTTGGTAGTTGCAGAAGTTATGGACCCTGGTTCTTTATATATGTAGATTATCATTTTAAGTTTTACATTTTCTACTTTATTATTTATAGTTTCCTTTCATTGGCTGAAATTCCCTATACATTCATTAAGACCATATTTCCTTTCATTCTTTGGACATATTCTCCTTTAGTTCTTTGACAATAGATTAATTGCTTTAAAGTCTTCTTATGAAGAGTCCAACACTGGGCAACTTGGGATTTGTTTCTACTGACTTTTTTTTCTTGACTGTAGGTCACATGTTCCTGCTTATCTGCATGTTGGTTATTTTTATTGTATATTGAACAATGAAGATGATATATTTAGAAACTATGGGTTCTGCTATCTCCATCCAAAGAGGGATTTTTGCTCTAGTAGTAGTTCAATATATTTGGATTTATGCTTTGTTAAGGTAAATATGCATAAAGCTTAAGGTCTTTCTAAGTCCTAATTAATTTTAAGGAATCAGCCTTCAAATTGTATGTCTGCTATAGATCTTTTAAGGGTTGGGTTTTGGAATTTTTCAGGGTGGGTCTATTATAGGTCTTACTTTAGGACATGGTGTTTACTTGTAAGGCTTCTGGTGTCTCAGCTAGATTTCCTGTTTATTCATGAGGTATTAACAAGGTCTCTTCAGTTTTGTTGCCTGGAACTCCAACATCCTCCAACATGGGTCAACTGGTAATATCTGTTTCTCTCTCTACACCAAACCCCATGGTAAGTCTCAGGTAGTCTTGCCCTATGAATATTCAGCCTAGCCCTCATTCAAAGGCTCTAAGAAAATCTCCAAATGGACTTTTAAAAATCTTCCTTTATATAGTTCCTTAATCTCTTATACCATCTTGCAAATTCCAGCTTCTTCAGGTGTACTGAACTCTGATTTCTGCCTCCTTAGCAAACCAATACCACTGCGTTCTGCCTGGAATCCAATTCATTGTGACATTGGAAAGTTTTCTCCTATGCAGAGAACTGGAGTGGTTGTTGAGCTACCTTGTGGTTTTCCTTTCTCTCTGTAATCACAGCATTGTGCTGCTGATTGTATAATGTCCTAGAACAGTCAATTCATAGACATTGTCTAGTTTAATGGTTGTGTATGACAGAAGGGCTAGTACAGTACCAGTTACTCTATTATAATCAGAGTGAAAATCTCCAAGGGGATTCATTTTTTAACAAATTTAAGAGTCGTGATAAACCTATTTGCTCTGTCCAGACTTATAGTTTTGTGAAATTTTAACCATCTTAAAACATAATCATATGCATCATGTGACAGGAAGTTTGTGGGAACAACTTCAGGGGACATGGGATCAATTAGCTGGCTGCTATATCCTTTATCCTCATGTAGCATCTTATTTTGGGCTCCTTTAGAATCAGATGCTGAGATGTGGATTTGAGTAGTAGTGGTTTATTTCGGAGGTGTATTCGTTTTCTATGGCTTCTGTAACAAATTACCACAATATTTATGGCTTAAAACAAACATATTTTTTATCTTACAGTTTTGAAGGTCAAAAGTTTGAAATCAAAGTCATGAGGCTAAACTCTGGGTGTTCTCAGGGTCACTTTCTCTCTAGAGGCTCTAGGGAAGACTCTGCTTCCTTGCCTTTTCCAACTCACAGAAAGGCATTCCTTATATTCCTTATATGTGGCCCCTTCCACCATCTTCAAAGCCAATAATAGCACAACACTTGCTTCAGTGGTAACATTGGCTTCTTGTTCTGTGTCAAATCTCTCTCTATCTTCTTCTTATAAGGATATTTGTTACTGCACTTAGATCCCATCCATATAACCCAGGATATTATCCCCATCTCAAAATCATTCACTTAATCATACCTGCAAAGTCTCCTTTGCCAAATTAGGTAGCATTCACAGGTTTATGGATTAGAACCTGGATATCTTTAGGAGCTATTTTCTAGCCTACCAAAGTCCATCCTCGAGCCCCTAGAGATTCATGTCCATACAACATGCAAAATATATTCATCTCACGCCATCAAATTCAAAATCCTGAACCCTTTTAGTACCAACCCAAAATCTAAAATCTTATTATCTAAGTCAGGTTTGGGTAGAATTGTGGGACTTATCTACCCTGGTGCAAAATTTCTTTACCATTTGTACATTGCTGAAACTGGAAAATAAGTTGTCTATTCTCAAAATACAATGGTGGGGCAGGCATAGAATAATGTTATAGGTATTCTGATTCCTCAAGGGAGAACAAGGAGAGTCACCAGCCCAGAGTAATTTCAGAAAACAACCAGCAAGTTCCACTAGGTTTCAAGGCCTTAAAATAATTCTCTAGGGCTTAGAACTCTGCCTTCCACCTGTGGTGGCTCTGCTTTCTGGACACATTTAAATATAACTAAAGAATATTCTTGTGTCTGTTCTTAGAATTCTCTTTTGAAATGGTTATAACATATGTTGGTTCTCTCATGAGTTAAGTAAAATATTTTAACATGTGTTTATTTCATATATGTATAAATGTCATAATTTTATTTTATTCTGAAAATTATCTTTTAATCATTTTAGAGGTCAAACCAAAATGCACAATACATTAACCTACCAGAGGCAGGTAAATTTCAACTACAGAGAAATATATGTCATGAAGAGTTTAAGACTAGACATGGCTTTTCTTGGTCCAGGTGAATCCAAAGTACCATTACAGTGATGTTAAGTCTGTTTCTCTAATTTTCATTTTCCAATCTCCTATCTTAGTCTTTGTTTCATTTTGGATATATTATAACCCATATGTATGAACCATTATTGGCAGAACTGGATGGGAATTTGGTTTTAGAGTTGGACCATTTTGAGACCTCTCTAAATGGATTCATGGTTTATAGAGATCTAATCTAGAGTAGATGAGAGACAACAGAAAATCTGAGTTTGTCAGTGTTTTTGTTTCTTGTTTTATCTGTTTTGAGCTCAAATTATTTAAGAATTCCATACCCACTGGGAGGAGAACAATATTTTGACATTGGGACTGGTGAATTTTTATATTTCTATGTTTATTCTTTATACATAGCACATTATAGAATTAAAGCTATAAGCTCTGCCAGGCATGCATGGCTCAGTGGTTGAAAGTTGACCTATGAGCAAGGAGGTAACAGTTCAATTCCTGGTCAGGACATATGCCCAGGTTGTGGGCTCTATCCCCAGTGTGGGGAGAGCAGGAAGCACCCATAGATGATTCTGTCTCATCATTGATATTCTATCTTTCTCTCCTTCTATGTCCTCTCTGAAATCAATAAAAATATCTATATTTTTTTTAAAATCTATAATCTTTACTTCTCTATGCTTCTATGTCTATGTGTCTGTAATTAAGAAATTCCTTCTGAATGTATCAGTGTGGAATTTTTTCCAACCTCTGGGTAATCCTATCTAATAAAAGAGTAATATGCAAATTAACCATCACACCTCACTCCATCAGTCTATCACAAAGATGGCAGCAGCCAAGGAACTGGAGTGAGCAGGAGGCTTGCATTGCCCCCAGCGATGGAGGAAGCTGAGCTTCCTGTCTGACTTGGCCGGCCCTGAGCTCTGATCAAGGCTAAAAAGTTTCAATTATAGAAGATAAATAAATCCCAGATACCTGCTTCCCGCCAGCCTGGCCTTGGCTCAAGGAAGTGCTGGGAGCCTCAGTTTCCAGGGGCAACCAGGCTTTCAGCGCAACCTGGCATCCACTCAAGGCTACAAAGTTTCAATTATAGAAGTTAAATAAATCTCAATACCTGCTTCCAGCCATCAGCCGTGGCCAGCATAAAAACGGCCCACAGCCCCTCACCCAGGCTGGCCAAGCACCCCAGCGGGACCCCCCACCATGAAAGGGCAGTGGCCAGCCTGAAAACATCCATCATTCCCTCACTCAGGCTGGCCAAACCTCCATGGGGTGAGGGTCCCAACTGGGGGGAGGGGGCTTGATCAGCCAGCAAATAGCCATCAGCCCCTCACCCAGGCTGGCCAACCCTCCATGGGGTGAGGGTCCCCACTGGGGGGGCTTGACCAGCCTGCAAACAGCCATCAGCCCCTCAC